CCCAAATGCTATCAAATACTGAGTCAATTACTCCCAGATCTTTTACATATTTATTTATTTATTTACTCATTTGATGTTTGTGTGTGCCCCCACCCCTGCCACCGCTTATGTGTGGCGGCCAGAGGACAGCTCTGGTCTCTTCTTCCATCATGTGGGCTCTGGGAATAGAACTCAAGTCATCGAGCTTGGCAGTAAGGGCTCTTACTCAATGAGTCCTCTTCTCAGCCCCTCCTCTTCATATTTTTTAAAGATTTATTTACCTATTTTATGTATATGAGTGCTCTATCTGCATCATGTATGACTTCATGCCAGAAGAGGGCATCACAGGGATCTATAATGGGAACTATAGATTTTTTTTTTAAGCTACATTGTGGTTGCTAGGAATTGAACTCATGACCTCTGGAAGAGCAGCCAGTGATCTTAACCACTGAACTATCTCTCTATCCCCCCCTCTTTATATCTTAAGAAATTTTCATCTCACTCAACTCCCATCCTATCCAAGGACAGCCTTGTCAGAGGAGGTGCCTTCACCTTACCTAGGCCACCCTCCCTATCAGGACCCAAGGGGAACCTGGCTAGTTCAGAGGTAAAAACAACCTTGGCTCTCTTACCCAAACTCAGGACAGCTCCAAAAGAACATCAAAACACCTAGCAGGGACAGCTTGACTGTCTTTAACATTGCATTGCTGCCCGACTTCTTCCTCTGCCCAACCCTGACTAGTTTCCTTCACCCCTCCTTAATAAGCTTCCTGTATGCGAATCTCTATCTGAACATAGACTTCCCAAAAGTCCCAGCCTGTCCCAATGATGAGACTTCTCAGCACTGTGTTAGTCAGAGGTTGGCACTCGACACTCGACATATGAAGAGATAAGCAGTCAGATGGAACACGTAATTCAGACTGTACTGCATTCTAACCATGAGAAATTATTGCTACCCTTAACTCATATAAAAGCATCTAATTTTTTTTATTACAAACCTCAGTTATAAGGCAAACACACAGCTCTCGCCTCAAAAAGGCTAAAAAATAGTTTATTCCAGAGTCAACTGTGGCCTAGGAACAGTTTTAGGGTACCCCAAATTCCAGTCCAACATGGTAACAGTTTCATGAAACTTTTTAGGGACAGAATGAAGGAAACCATCATCCAGGGCATGTTTTAGATACCCTGGTGGGGCGAGCGAGTAGGCGGTCAGAGCGGAGAAGGGAAGTTTCTACCTTAGGCGTCCAATGCTCTCTGAAGACAGTCCTAGCATTTACGTTGGTGGATGTGAGGCTCTATTTACATATTCCTAAGGATTTACCTGACACTCACAGGAATGCTACATTACATACAGAGGTGGGAACGAGGTAATTGTTTAAGGGGCTAAAGATGAACCAAGATAATTCCACTCTGACCCTGCAACAGTACAACTTCTACACATCAGTGAAGTCCTAATAAAACAGCCTGTGAAGGCACAGTTTCTTTCTGAAAAATTTCATTCATATTCCTATACCCTAACTAGCCCTGATTCTTTCCAACATCTCCACACAAGAGGCTAAACTGTGTTTGTTTTGGGACTTTTTCTTACTTGAGGTTTTTTTCGGACTCAAGTTCATAGTTTTCAGGATTTATAAGACATGTGCAATTGAAGCTGCAGGGCGATTGGTAAAGAAAAGTCCCCAGACTATCTTGATACAAAATATATAGCTTTAATAAACAGAAGTAAGACTTACAACAGCTTACACCAGAATCCAATCGTTCCGTCTGGACGCAGGAGCCAGGTGAAAAGAGAGCTAGCTAGTGGAGCGCGCTTGCTAGGTTTATAGGCAGGCTTTTGCCTGAGGGCGGCACGCCCCGAAAACAGAATATGATTGGCTGAACTCCCCTATCATCCAATCTTTTAAAATGTTTTTTTTTAGTTTTTAAATGTGAATATGTGTACATGTATAGAATTATGCATGTAGGAGAAGGCACACTTGAAGGCCAGTAGTGTGGGATCCCTCTGGAGAAGAAACTGAGTGCTGGGAATTGAACTTGGGTCCTTCACAAGAGAAGTGTATGTACTTTACCACTGAGCCAACTCTCTAGCCCATTATGACTACTACTACTATTATAGTATAGTAGTATTATAGTTAATATTGTGTGTGTGTGTGTTTGCCATGTGTGTGGGGATACTTACAGAAGTCAGAAGAGGACATCAGATCCTCTGGAGCTGGAGTTACATGTGATTCTGGGACACCTAACATGGATGCTGGGAATGAAACTGAGGTCCTCTTAAAAAAAAAAAAGGCAGCAAACACTCAACACTAAGCCACCACTCCAGCCCTCCATGTATATAATGTTAATCTTTCTCTCCTTAGACTTGATGATCAAAGTCTAAGACGTCTTAGATGGAAGTGAAATAGAAACCATCTTCCTAAGTCAACAGAAATTGTATTTGAGATGTTTCTGTTCAAGCAGCCTTTCCCTAGTTCTGTCTTTAAGAAAGCTTTGTTCTTGATGTTGTTAAAAGTAAGTTCAGGGTCACAAAGAAAGAAAATGCTGCCCCAATGAAAGTGTCTGAACCAGGCAACAGTGTGCTTGTGAGAAGAGTGCGCTGCTCACTAAAACGAAAGAACAAGCTCGAGAGGACAGGACATTCTTTGGTTTTTATTGTAGCTCAGATGATGACTGTCTTTCCCCAGTGGCTGGGTCTCACCTCACAGTCTCCCTCGATTGCCTCATTTTAAAAGAATCTGTGTGAAGGAAATGAGGAAAGCAGGTCAGGGGCACTTAAGTTTGGGGATGCAGCAGGGCCTTTATGTAAACAAAAGTCTTACCTGGTGGGAGTTGGAGGTTAAACATTTGCATCAAGGTTTTCTAAGGTGGGAAAAAGAAACACATTTCTGTCTCTTGTGGATACAAAATGGAAGTGTTGCAGTTTTTGACAAAAAGGCTAATGTTTCTTAAAATCTTACCATTTGGGAGGGATAGAAAACTCAACCGAGATACCACAGAGACACAAGGATCAGAAGTGTTTGCACAGTCCAAGAAACAGGTAGCTCACAACCACAGCCTTTTCAGGAAGGGCAAAGGCCATAACGACAGCAGTTCCCAGCATGACTCAGGGAACAAGAAAGGAGACAGAAGGAGAAAGGAGACTGGAACCTGAGAACTTGAGATGCTCAGCAGAATCAGGGAGCCAGCACTAGATAAGAACTGGGAGCTGACTAAGCCTGTAGCTGGTGGACAGTCCTTTCTGTTACCAGGTGAAGACTGCAGGGATTGCCATGGCAACTGTCTGCCCTGGTCTGGATTACTTTTCTTCTTGTTATGACCAGTTACCTGACAGGAAGTAACTCAAGAGAGGAAAGGCACGCTTGGTCTTATAAGGAGATACAGTTCATCGTCATGGCAGGCGGTTCCATTGCGGCAGGAATATACAGCTAACACTCTTTCATCTTGGTAGAACAGGAAGCAGAGAGTGAGCAGCTATGCCCAGCTATAAAACCCAAGGCTTGTCCCTAGTGGCCCATTTCTTGCTGCTTGGCTCCACCTCCCCAGAGACTCACAACATTGTAAAACAGCGACACCAGCTGGAAACCGTGTGTCAAAACACACGAGTTTGCGGAGGACATCGCAAACCACCTGGGCAGCCATCCTTGGCGTTGCACCCCATCTTCTCATCCTCACACTCAGTAAAACTATTTGGTGGAGAACACAAAGAGAAGAGTACGTATCCCTTTAAAAGCATAATCCTACCACATGCACTCAAATTCCGACTTCCCCATACCAGAAGAACCACAACTCTCCCACAGGCCACCTCCCAGGGCTTCCGATGACCACACGGCAATGCAACCTGTTGTCCTGGTAAATTTAACACAATGCTGACGATGTTGTGGGCAAGCCATTGTTTTTCCTCCATCCTGGGGGCGGAAACGTCACAGCAGGCCCTCCCTCCGCTCCACCCACTTCACCTGCAGGTTCTTACCGAGCCTCTCCAGCAGGTGTTTCAGTCAGTGGTGAGACAGACAGGTGGGAGCAAACAGAAAGCCAAGTGTCCTCTCTGCATGCCACCCTCTTCCTTAGAGTCCCAGTGACGTCATGGCTAGAGAGTCAAGGATGTGTTTCTTCCAGAAGGTTCACAACCAAAATTGTTGACTGTCAATAAAGCAAAGCAGTGTGGGTTTCTTTGGTTTTGCTTGGGTTTTGTTCATTTATTCATTTGTTTCATTGTTTTGGGGTTTGTTACTGGCATAGGTTAGTTCTACATCATAATAGATTTCACTGGAACATTTCCATACATGTACACAATGCATTTCGATCATATTCACCTCCATACCCGTCTTACTCTCCTCCGACTCCGGCTAATCCCCTCTTCCCCATTGGCCTGCTGCCATGTTAGCTCCTCTGTTGCTATTTGTTTTGGGTCTGTGACCGAGGGAGTTTGTTAGGCTTCTTTGTAGGAGCTCAGGTAGCGGCTGCAAGTTGTTCGTGTGTATTCTTTCTAAAAAGGGGCCTCCAACCCCAACTTTGCATTGCCACAGATGACCCCAAATGCCTTAAGGCATGAAGAGAAATCTTCAACATATCCCCATCCCCACTTTCCTGCCTCTTAAAACCACCTTCATTGACTGCATGAGAGTTGAAACGCAGACACCACCTTTGGCAGGAGAATAAGCCTCGTCCTGTCCACACATGCCCACAACTGAAGCTTCCTCAAACACTAAGCTCGGAAGCCTAAGCCTTCCAGAGGCAGGGAGGGTTTCTTCCCAGGCGGGTGCCTCCAAGCCAGCACCGCATCACCATCCAGCTGTGGAAGAGGAGGCACTGAGCTGAAAGCAAAGGAGGAGGCTGGGCGGGAGTGGAGGCCTTGAACTGCTCCAGCTGAGCCTCTTTGGGCTTCAGACTCCTAAATGAAGTAGAGAAGGCTGGGATCTAGAACACCAGGCATTATTTGCATGCCAAGCCCTGCCCCACCCTTCTTGAAATCCTACTAAGGCAGAACGTGGCCCCGCCTTCCTGTCAATCTCTTGATTAAATAGGCACTTCCCTCCAGGAGGCCTCTGGAGTGCAGCACCTCCTACTGCCGCCAGAAGCAGCTCTCTCCCACCATGCGGGCTGTCCCTCTGCACCTGCCCAGGACAGTAAGCCTTGGGTGCCTGCTCCTGCTTTCTCTCCGCCCGGACCCAGGCCAAGCCAAGGAGCTGAAGTTTGTAACGTTGGTAAGTACGCTTTTCTCATTGTTCTTCCTGTTACCAGGGTCAGAGAAATTGCCAAATGTCACCTTTCATGTTTCCTTTCTGTTATCTGCCTGAGACCAGCCGTTTCGTGCAAGCCGGCTTTAATGAAGATAGTATTCCCATTTGCCGTCGACGGCACTGTTTCGTTACTGACTTCACAGCTGCCCTCTGGTCCCATTCCTGCCCTCTGTGACTCCCCTGAGAGGGGAAGTCACAGCTAGCGCTGTTCATATGCCAGGAGCTAACCTGGCTTCTTTCCATTTAACGATCATTTGTTTTCAAATCAAAGAACAGTCACTTTCTGAAGTCACTCCTTAAGTTTTTCGTGACATTGGCGCATATATTTGTTGTGTATATTTGGGAACGCAAAAGAGAAACTGAGCACAGAATTTCAGAACTATCAACTGATTTAGTTGATCATTAAAACCATGATGTCACCTACACATAGTCACTGTAGTCACTGTAATAAGCCATGAAAAAAAAAGGGAGAGAAGTGTGTGCTGCCAGGTGTCAGGGGGAAAATATATACAATTGAGAGTTAGAAACATATGGGAAGAGCATGTTCAAAGTTAAAGGCATTTGCCTCCCCCCTTCTCTCTCCTCTTTTTTTTTCTTTTATTTCACATCCTCCATCGCTGTTTCCTTTTTTTATTTAATATAGTGAAAGCTGGCTGATTTATAAGCGTGTTTTCCTTCTGCAAGAATACTCAGAAACTATTTTCAAGATTTAGAGAAAGGGTCCCTCTCACTTAAGCCTTCAACGTGCTGTTCCTCTCCTGGCAGTGAGGAAAACCTTTGCAGGAAACTCTTTCTTGCTACAGAAATCATGATGCTTAGCCTGGTAAATCTTTACTGGGTTTGAGTCAGGAAAAAAGGAGGCGAAAACCCAAGAAAACGCCATCCTCTTCCTGAAAACCATTTGCCAGTGGCCAGGCTGCTGTGTTGATCAAGCGACGTTACAGCCTGTACCTCCTGCGGTGCGCTTTCCCTGACATGCATGAGCTCCCTGCCAGTGTGGTCATTAGAAGAGTGTCGGGAGCGTGGAGTTGTCTTGGGTTCTGCTGGTCTTGTCACACTGGGCTTGGAACCAGCTGGCTCGATGGCAGTCCTCTCTGAGACAGCAAGAGAGCTCCAGTTAGCTTCATGCAGTGGCAGCTCGCTGAGTTCCACCCACAGTCCAGGTAGCTTGCTGCCGCTGCCAAATGGTTGTGGTTTCCGTCCCTCTCCACTCTCAGTTAAAATATGTTCAGTGACTACCAGTTAATTCTTCCTTGAAGAGAAACCAAGCTACAAAGGCAACTCTCTAACAACTCAAAACTTAACCAGTACTGCATAAAGCAAACATTAACCCCGCTCCCTACAGTGGCCTCTTCCTATGAATGTTAAATAATGGGCAATTTGATTTATCTTCCTTGGCCCTAACAAAACAACTTCTCTCTGATGATAAAAGTCAAAACTACCATTTTCTTCCTTTAATTGATGATAGAGACTATTTGAGTGTACATAAATGGATAGACTGAACATTCAGAAAAAATCCTTGGGAGTTTATTAAGAGAACAAGTAGCCAGGTGGTGGTGGCACACACCTTTAATCCCAGCATTCGGGAGACAGAGGCAGATGGATTCGCTCTGAGTTCGAGGCCAGCCTGAACTACATGAGAGTGGATCAGTCTAAAAGAGAAACAGAGCTTACACCTTTAATCCCAGCACTAGGGAGGTAGAGACAGGAGTACGGCTGGGCAGAGAGAGGAATATAAAACAGGAGGAAACAGGAACTCAGAGATTTAGTCTGAAGTTTCACAGAGACAGCATTCAGCCTGAGGATTCATAGAGACAGGATCTTGTTCCTTTGGTCTGACCATTCAGAGAGGTAAGAACTCTAGTGACTGGCTTCTCTGCTTCTCTGATCTTTCAGCTTTCACCCCAATATCTGACTCTGGGTCTTTATCATTAAGTCCAATTAGAATTTGAGCTACAAGATTCTGTCTCAGAAAGCCACCCAATGAATGAATAAAACAGAGACAAAAGTTGGGCAGTGGTGGCGCAGGCCTTTAATCCCAGCACTAGGGAGGCAGAGGCAGGCAGATCTCTGTGAGTTCAAGGCCAGCCTGGACAGGCTCCAAAACTACAGAGAAATGCTGTCTGAGAGAGAGAGAGAGAGAGAGAGAGAGAGAGAGAGAGACAGAGACAGAGAGAGAGAGACAGAGAGAGAGAGACAGAGAGAGACAGAGAGAGAACAAATAGAAGATGACATGGTATGGTAGCGCACACCTTTAATCCCAGCACTTGAAAGGCAGAGACAGGTGGATCTCTATGAGTTTGAGACCAGCCTGGTCTATATAGTGAGTTCCAAATAGTACATACCCCAAATCTAGTAACCCCATTACTCAGGAGGTAGAGGCAGCAGGATCAGAATTTCAAGGTTATCTTAAAAGCTAGTGCAAGACCAGCCTGTCCTACATGAGATCCTGTCTCAAAAAACAAAAATGAAACAACAACAAAAACCCATCCACAAACTTCTTGTTCCTGCTTTCAAGATGAAGATACAAGCAATAGAGGTTAGGAAGCTGGACGGTGGTCACGCGGGTAGAAAAGCAGCCTCAAACTCACTGTGTGATGCCTTTGCCCTTGCCCCATCACTAGATTCCAGCTATTTCTGCTGATTGCACATAGCCCAGAACCTGGAACTGATCTGAGTCGACTGCACGGTTTGTAACATTACCCTGACTTGGAGGCTGGAGGTGGTTTCCTTGTTTTTCCTCCATAATCCAAGAAAAATAAATCCTCAATTCTGAAAAGCTATTTGTGGGGAAAAACGAGGAGACTGCCTTTGGTTCTTGTACTTGCTGGTGAACAAACCCATGTTTTTTTGTTTGTTTGTTTGTTTATGTAGTGCTAGGGACTGAGTCCAAGGTCTCAGGCATGAATCCAAAGCCTCATACATGCCAGACAAGCAGCCAAGAAGGAGTACTTCCTCAGCCCACTACTACATTGGACACACACATATCATACACACACACACACACACACACACACACACACACACACGCACGCACGCAAGCACGCACGCACATGCGCGTGCACGCACACACATACACACACACACACACACACACCATGGAACACATGTAAAGTCAGAGGACAGTTTTGGGGAGTTGATCTCTCCTTTCAACACTGCGTTCCAGATTAAAGTCAAGACTTGAACAGCAAGCTCTTTTGCCTACTTAATCATTTGCCAGCCCTACGTGATCTGTTTCTCTGTAGCCCTGGCTGTCCTGGAATTTGCTCTGTAGACCAGGCTGGCCTTGAACTCAGAGATCCACCTGAGTGGATTAAAGACAGAAACCAACACCGCCCAGCTAATTTACATGATCTTTTAAAACAAACTTACAAAAGTATTTCCCATGAAATTGTGGTTTGACTACTTATTAACAGTTGGGTGAAAAAAAAAGGAAGAAGTTAAGTCTAATACAGGTTTACATGTTTTAAAAGGGTCTCTTTAAACCGTTGAATGAAATACATCTTTAACAGGCACTATGGATTTCAAGGCAGGAATCTCTGAAGTGAACTGCTTCTTGGCACGGCCTTGGCATGGCTCCCTAGACTGTCTGTAGAGAATTGGTATTTTTAACTTTGTAGAGAGGGGAGAGTAAGTCTGCTGAGTCTCTGCGTATGCGGCAGCCAGCTTTGGTAATTATCACTCAGGGCCAGTCTCGCTTCACCCATAGACCTGCTCATTTTCCACACTCGCTCACTTGCTTTCTTTTTACAATAATCTCACGCATCATATTATCTCACCAGAAAGAGAGGATGCCATTGTAAAGCATCTCTCCCTCTAGCAAGGGGAAAACCACAAGTCAGGTGATCTCAGACAGACAAAAATTCTGTGTTGCTCTTCTGGCTGTTTATAAAGAAAGAGATGATGACTCACGATTCGGCACCTCCTTGTATTCTTCAGGGTTGACCTGATTTCTGCAGTCTAACCTGAGTCATAGTATATTCTTGGCTCAAAGAGCCTCCAAGCCCTGTGTACGTTGCCTCTTCAGTGGGGTGGTAACCCAATCAAGGTTGGCCCCGCACATGGTGCTAGCCATTTCTGATTTCTAGGACCACCCATCTTCTTCATGCCCACGCCTCAAGGATTAGCAGTCGATCCCATGATTAGTCTTCTAATGCTTTTTTGTTAGAACTGAAGTTGAAAATGATACCTAAAAAAAAAAAAAAAAAAAAAAAAAGCACAGAATTTTTTTGCTAACTCAGTTCCACTACTGTTAACCAGGTCTGGGAGCAGAAACAGGCCATTAATGAAAACAACTGAGTTTCAAGTTCCCTAAGCTTAAAGTTGACGGTCGCAACCATGGCTAAGCTTCTCCCTGCACAGGCCATCTTCAGGATCCAGCGACATGATTTAGATATGGAAGTGTGAATGGGGCCATGCACTGGGGACTGCTTGGAGTCATGCAGACAGACTTTTCTTTAGGCCGCCAGCTCATAAAACATGACACAGAGACTTGTTATTAATTATGAAAGCTTAGGCTTGTCCTATTAGCTCTTATAACTTAAATTAACCCATTTCTATTCATCTACGTGTTGCCACGTGACTCATGGGTTTTACCTCTCCTCCTGCATGTCTCCTCCTTCTATCTCCTCTGGGGACTCCTGTTCTTCTCTCCAGAGCTCTCGGTCCCCAGAAGTCCCACCTTAACCTCTTCCTGGCCAGCTAATGCCATGCAGCCCTTTATTAAACCAACCACAGTGTCACATCTTCACACAGTGCAAAGGAATATATGCTTCCACAACAGAGTCGCCATCTAAAATAGGAGGTTTCTAACTTTTTTGGTTAAATTGTAGACAATCTCTAGTTAATTTTAGAGTTTATGGTCTTAACCATCATAAGAATAGGCTTCGATGATGTAAGTATATTCACAGGCTTCCACCCTCACCATGAAGCTGGAACTTTCTTTCAAAACTGTAAAGTGGCTT